AGAACGGATCCCAGAAGTTGGGTCTTAAACATTATTCATCCATCTCTGCCACTGCATCTTTGGGGTAACAGACTTAAGTGGTCAGACAACCATAGAATCATAGAATGGTTTAGGTTGGAAAGGACCTTAAAGATCATAGAGTTCCCACCTCCCTGCCATGGGCAGGGACACCTGACTAGACCAGGTTGCCCAAGGCCACGTCCAGCCTGGCCTTGAACACTTCCAGGGATGGGGCCTCAACAACCTCTCTGGGCAACCTGTTCCAGTGCCTTACCCCCCTCAAAGTGAAAAACTTCTTCCTAATGTTTAATCTAAACCTTCCCTCTTCCAGTTTATAACCATTCCCCCTCGTCCTGTCACTACATGCCCTAGTAAAAAGTCCTTCCCCTGCTCTCCTGTAGTCCCCCTTTAGGTACTGGAAGGCCGCAATAAGATCTCCCCGGAGCCTTCTCTTCTCCAGGCTGAACAGCCTCAGCTCTCTCAGCCTCTCCAAAAGAGTAAGAAATGCCCATCAATATAAAACTAGTGATATTCCCCACCCTGCTGGAGATTGCCAAGTTTTCGTGAAGTAAAGCTGGCTGCATTTTGTTTATTTCTGTTGGGTGCCTCTTTGTTTTGTATCACATTGCGCTGTTTATCTGCTGAAGTTTGATGCATTTACGACACACAGGCCAAACTATCATGGTTTTGGTCTGCTGTCATCTGTATTCAGATAGGATTAGTTTGGTTTAACCTGCTCAGTTAGAGATTCTTACAGCTGTGACTTTTTTAATTGTGCACAGCCACTTTTGTCCGTGCATTGTGCACAAGCAGTCATGTCCCAGTGAATGGACTGCATGTTTGTACAAAATGAAGCAGTTTCATTTTTGCAGGTCTTTAATTCTCACTGATGATGCTAACACAATCATTCTTGTTTTCTATTAAAGTAAATCCCTAGACTAATCAAAACCCAACCCAGAGAAATTCTCTGAACAGGCAGTTTCTTATCAGGTATGTTCTGAAGAAACCTGCTATTAATGTTACTAAAATGACAGCGCAGTATTTGCAGAACAATAATGTTAAAGGTACTTGAGTTAAACGTAGTCTCACATGCTGAACCAGGATGCAGAAATCGTATCATATAAAGGACTGGTAAAGAGAAATAGATATTCAAACCTTAGTTTGTGTATCAAACATGAGAAAGTTTTTCCTACTGCTGTTTTTAAGCACCATCTCCTTAAGCATATACATTTTAAATTTTGCTGCAAAAGAGCTATGTAGACTACACTTCTCTGTGTAGATACTCATTGCTTCAGACTGTATATAGAAGAATTGTCCAAATAGCAAGATTCTGTTTTTTGGCTGGAAAACAGTAAATGAATATTAGATGAGTGTTTGTAATATCCTGTACTTAAGTTTTAAGCATCAGCTATTGTTTAGGGCTAGACAGCTCTGTAACGTAGCAGGAAAAGAGCTTAATGAAATCCAATATTTGGAAGCAGGAGGTAGATGAATTCAGACTTGGAATGGTAGTGCTAAATTTTAACAGGAAGGATAACTAACATTTGGAGTAACTTCTGTGGGTGTATGGCTTTATTTATCACTTGACGTCTTGAATGTGAACCCTTATATTTTCTAGAGGATATACTGTGTTTTAGGTAAGTTATGGAAATTGCTGGTTGAATGTCATAGTTTGTAAAAGGTGGGAAATAGGCCTTATGTCCCAGGCCTGGGATCCTGAAGGTAGGTCAGATGTGTTGCTGTGTTTCTCTTAGCTACGAGGTGTACTTCCACAGCGCGTTAAGAATAAACACCTTCACTCCACAAATGGCTTGCAGAAATGAGTTTGATCTTTTGGGCAGAGGGAAGGGAAACTATTTGCTTTGCAAGCTCTTGGTAAGGCAGGGATCTGAACCCATGTTGTCTTTTCATCCTTATTCTAATACGGTTAAGAATACTTCGCATTTTTAAGGTTTGGTGAGACCCCATATAAAAGATGTCATAAAGCCCAGCCTTTGACTGCCCTGCTGGACTCCCAATTTTGGGTTTTCTGTCCTACTGGGAATTACCTTTGTTAGACCAGGGAAAGGTAGATAAATTGCAGCTCCGTGTTTATTCCTTATGCATTTAGGTCCCGGGTTGTTCCCAACAAGTACCAAATCGACTCTGTCGCTGATCTGTGGAATGAGAGTCTAATACCTACGCTGTGCCAAAAGCCACCAGGCAATGAAGAAAGATTTAAAAAGGGACTCTCTTTGGGAATGGGGGCACGCTTTTCAAGTCACAGGTTGGGCTGTGTTCTGGTGCCGCCTGCAACTGGACGGGTGACCCTGCAGGAACGGGACCCGTGATCCTTCGGGAGGGACCTGCGGCAGGAAACCCGCCCAGCCTGACCTTTGGCTGCTCTGGGTTGTGGCGGCTGGCTGCTCCCGGGCTGGAGTGTGCGTTCTCCCTGGGAGTTGTGCTTGAGTTTGCCTGTTTTGTTGCCCTGGAGACAGAAGAGTGTGGTATGCTTTCCCCCCGACCAGAAATAGTTTCCTGTACCTTGTGACCGGAGCGCTGTACTCCTCCTCTGGTCTCTGGCCAGGCTGTGTGGTGCTGGAGGGATGGGGTGTGGGGTGATGACCTCTTGTCACAAGTTCTGGTGTGGCTGCTGCCCATGATCACTCCTGCCCTACCCGCTCCGCTCCCTCTGCACGATGGTGTAGGATTTCAGGGGAGCAATTGCTCTTGATTTACATCTCCCATGGCATTTTGATGGTTATGTCATTTTGTTTGAGCCTCGCTCCTGTCAGCTGTCTGTTCTGGCTGTCAGGACTCGGTGGCTGAGTAGCACGTGGTGAGCTCTTACCTCTCCTTCCCCCTTTGCTCAGCTGTTTTTGCTGTCTGCTTCCCCGTGTCCTTGTACTTGGGAACAGATTCTCAGCAAGTGTAACTGTGCACGAGGGCAACGTGATCCGGGTGGGTGAAGGATCCCCTTCTGTAGGAGTTCCAAGTAGAGCTGGGAGGGTAAGTGGGGAATTTGCAAGACCCAGTTTAAGTGCAAGTAAGTTTATCTTAAACTGCTGTCCTGCTGTGAGAATCTGGCCCAAGTGCTGAGTATGCAGCACAGTCTGTTACCTTGCAACTGTGTTTTGCAAAACTTCATTTGTGAGAGATGCTGCTAAAAGGGAAGCCAAGGCACCCCCACCCCTCCCCAGCAATGCAGGTGAGAAAGCGCTTGCACTGCACCAAGGCGTCAGGAGTGTGGAAGCTCTCCAGGCTTTCTTGCTGCCTGCTACTTTATTGGAGAGTGGTTCTGGCATAGAACTGTAAAATATATGCAACAACAACAATAATTTCCAGGATTGAGAACGAAGGAGAGATGAAAGGAGTAATTTACCTTCCCCCATCCCTGAACAGTAGCAGATGAGGATGTAAGCACATCTCAGCCCTATAAAATATTAATTGGGACATTTTCTACAGTTCAGCAGTGGGAAAGAAGACAGAAATCCTGCAGTGCCCTGAGCTGCTATTCCCAGCCTGGGAGAGAAAAGTGTTCTGAGCTGAGGTCTGGCTTAGTCTCCGTCTTCTGCTCACGGGGAAGAGAACAGTTGCCCAAAGCCTTCCTTTACAAAGGGAAGGGAAGACCATGCAGAGACCATGGAGCCGCACAGGCTGTTCTCAGGCAGAGCACTGCAGTATGGCTTTGTTGAAGTGGGTCTATAGTGGGTTTCCTCTAAATTGGAGGATGCTGCATTTCTACCAGTGATCTGCTGAGTAGCCCAACAAGCCAAGGGTCCTGCTTACTCTTGTGGAGAAGATGTGTGTCAGGGGATGCAGAGAAGGTGTGTTTTCAAGCCGGTGCGTGAAGATCTGCTACAGAAGGAATGTCAAGAGCAGGAAGGGACTGCTGGTTGCCCTTTCTGTGTTCTTTTGATGGCTGGACTTGGGAGGAAGGACAGTCCTTGCTTCTTGCCTCTTTCTAGGCATTTGCATCCCCAAAAGTCTAGAGCTTAGCAGCTGCCAGGGCTGCCTAAAAGATTTGCCTGCCTCGGATCCTTTCAGTGAATCTGTGCTTGTCCAGTGTGAAGATTTGCCTGCCTCGGATCCTTTCAGTGAATCTGTGCTTGTCCAGTGTGAGCATTTCACTTGAGAGGATGGCGGCTTTGTAGTGAAAGTTCAGGACTCGTCATTGCTGTACTGAAAAATCTCCTGTCTGATCCTCAGTGGCTAAAAGGCCCCCTGCCTCTTGGCTGAGATGGGCAGAGTTGCGCTAGCTCCCTCTCCTTTCCTTGTTTTCATGCATGTTACATTTCTAGGGAGGAGAAACCATTTTTTACTCTCCTTGATATTTTTTTCTTTAAGCCAGTTGACAGTCGTGCTTGAACTGATGTTGCCTTTGGGCTGGAATAAGCATACTTAGCAGTTGACAGGACTTCTCGCCTGGAGATCTCAAAGTGCTTGATCAGCATTTCACCAGCGAGTCCATCCATGGGTACTGAAGTATGGTTACCTTTACGGTTCACTGGAGCTGGCAGAGTTCCCTATTTCATGTGAGGGTTGTGCACGAGCAGGAGCTGTGTATTTCTCCCCTACTTTGCCCTTCTTCCCCAGTGTTTCTCTGGAGTGGAAGCAGGTCCTTTTCCCATTTGATGTGGGCTGTTTCTTCAGAGACTTTTCCTCTTCCTCTCCAGCCTTGGAGAACGGGGGTAAGTCTCGGGAGGGATGTCACTGGTTTTGCATATTTGTGAGGCTGACAGAAGAGCAGTGTCTTTGACTTTGCTGCTACTCACTGTGAATCCAAGGAGGGAATACCAGTTTAGTACTAGCTCTGTAGCAGGAGCAGAGGTCCTCCTGCAGCCTCGGCTGAATAACCCTCGCCTGAAAGGGCTGTGAGGTTTTGGGAAACAGTCGTGTTCCAGGAGTTCCCAGCTCTCTGGATGAATGCTGGGTCACTGTGTTCCTTTCTGCATTGAATATGAACAAGAGCTTACTTCAGAGTTGTGGTGCTTAACGCCTTGTTTCTTATTCTCTTTTAGATCACCAGAAACTGGAACGTGAAGCTCGAATCTGCCGACTTCTAAAGCATCCAAATATTGGTAAAGCTCCTTGGGCTCAGAGGGATGGGGGTGAGAGAGGAGTAATGTCTCATCTAGCAAGCTGTGCAAGAGCAGGTGTATTCTGAATGTTCACAACAAGTCGTCAGACTTGCCTGTTGAAATCGCCTCACTTTCTCTCTTTGACAAATTCTGCATATGACCTTGTCCCGTTCCTTAGCATCGTTGCCCAGTTTTTCACCAAAGTGTGCTGGTTTCCTGTCCGCTCACCCATGCAGAGCTGTCCCTGCTCCTTGGGTGATGCATGGCTCTGTCTGCTCATCTGACATTCTCCAATGGGAATGAGCTGTTGTATTTGTTTTCCCCACGCCTGTCTTTTATTTCCTCTTCTTGTCACTTTTTGAGGTATCTGTTTAAATGCTGTATTAGGGGACATGCCCAAAGTTAAAGGAGGGTGGGCTAATATGTCATCTCTTCTTATTGCAGTTGCCACTTACTTTAAAAACAAGAGACCAAACCCAAATTGCCCATTTTGGCAGTCATTTTAAATAATAATAAAAAAAAAAGGTAATGGAGTAAAGGGAATAGTTTTGTCCAGAAATACAGGAAGAGGCAAAATAAGGCACAACTACTGAACTGTAGTGAGAGAGCATGGATTTTTATCTAGTTCCAAAGCACCGTGCAAGTTTGTCTTAAGTTTTCTTTTAGAGAAATTTCGCATTGCTGGAAGTTGCTTTGCGCAAAAAATTTGGACCATTAATAATCCCTTTTTTAGGATCTTAAAATAAATAAAGCCTCTAGGATCCTAGCTAAGGTCTAATTTGAGTTAATTTATTTAAGAAAACATTAAGAAATACCAAACTGCCACCTTCAACCAAAGCACTCTTAAATATCCCTGTCTGGGAAACCTGTGATGCATTACGTTGTCTTTCTTTTGCATAATCCTATCTGTCAGCATAGATAATGTTTTAAGGGCATCTGTCTGGTCTCCTGACTTTAAGTTTCATAATAATTTTCTCCTATCCTCTGAAGACCTGGGAGAAAAAAGGTGCCTTCCAACATACTCCATGGACTAACATCTATAGGCCATTCTGTATGTGATGAAGAAGCTATTACCACAAGCTGGGGACCTCTAAAATGCAAAGTACCTTAGTAGCAGCTTTTCAGCAGAAAGAGCTTTGTTGCATCAGAGTGTAGTTGTGGAGGTATGGCATGAGGAGAGGAGCAGTGGCCACCTTCTACAGTAATTTGCACTGATGAATATATTGGCCGGTAAATTTATTGCTTGGCAATATTCAGAATGACTTAAACTCATATTAGCTAGTTACCAAGCTTCATTTGCCCCATAAGACTTGTTGCACTTCATTTAGTAGGTGATGTCACTTTTTATTTTGGCCTTAACTTCACTTTCATCATCTCTCCTTTTTACAATTTCATACATGTTTTCTTGCCAGGCCTCTTACAGGGTAAATTTTATACACAAGAAGAAAACCACTTTTATAAGTAAACCACACTGAAAACAAACATATCACATTCCTGGTTCAATTCTACAGCTTGTTCCTCATCTGTAATGAGTGACAATGCTTGTCTCCTGGTGTATCGTGGTTTGGAAAAGACAGTTTGGGGGAATGTCAGTGGTTCTTGCATTTTCTACAGAGCATGTCTTGTCTTCCTAGAATGAACAATTTTCCTCTTAAGATAAAGAGACTAGTCATTCTAAACTCAAGGGGCAGTCACAAATAGCAATAAAGGAATTAAGTTTTGTGCCTACAGCACAGAATCAAGGTGTGTTGAATAAGACCTCGGGAAATCGTGTGGTCTGTTCAGCAGTCCTGTGAAAACCTTTTATACCTGGCTGGTTCCAGGCATGTTTGTTCTTTAAAACGTTTAAATGCTTCCACAGCCCCTAGTGGCAATCTTTCAAATGTTTAATTTTTCTGTCAGTTAGACATTAGAAAAAACATACTTTGCTGCTGTCTTAGCTTGTAGTTTCGAGTTCTATCTGGAGTATATGCGGAAAGTAGTTTTTCTTTCTTGTAACAATCTTTTACATATTTGAAGACTGTTATCATGTCTCTTTTTAGTTGTCTTTTTCTTCAGACTAAACAAACCCAGTTCCTTCAATCTTTTCTTATACGTCATTACGTCATGTTTTCTAGACCTCACGTCCTCTCCCCCGCCCCGAGCCTCTTCCTTCTCTGGACTCTCTCCAGTTGCTTCATATCTTTCTAGAAATGTGATGCACAAAACTGGACATAAGATTCTAAGGCCATGTCAGTGCTGACTAGAGGGGGAAGAATTGCTTCACCTGTCCTAACAAAGATGCTCTTGTTTTGTACATCAGCCTGTGAAACTTGTCATTTAAATATGCTGTTGATGCACTTTTGTTTTCTGACTCATTATTGCTCCAAACTACTTTCTGCAGAACTTCTGCCAAGCAAATAATTTTCCTGTCTTGTATAGTGAGGATTCCTATCAAAGTGTACATTACATTTGGCTTTATTAAAACAAACAGGAAGAAATCCACTCTGCGGGTGTGTCCCCCCGCCCCTAGATTTGTCAAGACCATTTTCATTTATCTCCTGATAGTATAATAGGGTTGCAACTCCCTCCACAGTAACATGATCTTTAATAACAATGTCATACATTGCATCATGTAATTAATAACACTGTTGAATACTGCTGGACTCTGGAGGAACACTTGAAGATATCACTTGATACATTGTTGCAGTTTGACAGTGATCAATTTTGGGTATGTTTTTTCAATGAGTTGCATACACCATTGTAAGCTAGTTCTGAATACACATTTTTTTCTAAATTGCTTATGGAAATAGCATGTCAGATGCTGTCAGAAGCCTTGCTGAAGTCCAGATGCTACATGCATTGCTGCTTCCATATCCCTTGGACTTGTTAGGTTGTCATAGAGAGGAAACATGTTGTTCTGACATAGCAGTAGGTTTTTCCTTTGAAATGTGTATCAGCAGTTAGTAATCACCTAGTTACTGCCATTCTACATTGTAAACTCTTCTGGATGAATACTTGGTGTGTTGCTTCAGTGTGAACTATGCTAGTAACTCTGCACCAATCCTGAAGAATTCTGCAGATTTTGCACTTGCTTTAGTTTCCCCATTAAGTTTTGTTGTTACTGCCTTTGTTACAAACTGTGTTGCAGCATGTCCTGCTCTTCCACGGTCATCTGAGCCTCTAGTGACTCTGGGGCAGCGGACTGAAAGTTAGGACTCTGCGAGGTGGGCTGCTTTTCTCTCCTGCCTGGACACAGGATATGAAGCAAACCTATTGTTGAATTTGTGGTTCTTATCCATATGCTGCAAGACAGATGATTCTGCTATGGACATTCTGGACTGCAACATACTGACCATAACACTGCTACTCAGATAAAATAAAGATTACTCTAGGTGCAAAATAATGGTGGTATTTCCATTTGGTGTTGCTCCTTGTGAAACGACCGCTTTCTGAGTTATCCTAATGTGCCGTCCTCAAATCTCAGCCCTAATTATAGGTTGTCACTCTGTAATTGGATGTTTTGTCTTGCCTTTACGTGCACATTATGGCCAAGGTAATCATAGTGTAGTAATCCTTCTAAGAGCTTAGTGTTGCACTAAGGTTTTTTTGTCTGGAATGAAGAAAGTTGACTTGAGGCAATTTTTTTGATTTCTGATTCGTGGTATGTACCACGCTCTCATTGTGCAACGTACATTTGAATGTGCCGTTACAGCTTGTCACCT